GGAAGTGTCAAGTATCTGAGGCTGGATTTGAACTCGGGTCCTCCTGACTCCAGGGCTGGTACTTCATCCACTACACCACCTAGCCACCTGTGGGAGAGGTTTTTAAAGGCAGGGTCTCTTCACCTAAAAATCATACCAAAGGGGTGAGTGGTTGGCCTTATTCATGCATAAGGCTGACTTTATGCAGAATTACTTTGATGATGTCAGGGAATAATCCAGAACGTGAGGCTTCTCTTGGAAGGCAAGCCTAAGTTAAGTGCCATGGCTGGGGTTGGGGACACTCAGCAATTTTTTTTTTGTTTTTAGCAAAGCAATTGGGGTTAAGTGACTTGCCCAGGATCACACAGCTCATAAATATCAAGTGTCTGAGTTCAGATTTGAACTCAGGTCCTCCTGACTCCAAGGTTGGTGCTCGACCCGCTGTGCCACCTAGCTGCCCCACACTCAGCAAATATGAAGAGAACAGTGAGTCCCATAGCATGGAGGAGCACCCTAAAGGGAAAACAAAAGCACATGGAGTGGAGGGAACCCTAAATCAACTCTATTTCCTTTCCAATATGTTTAGGGCCAGCTATTTCCTCAGCAATCCAGGATCTAATCATTAGCGATTTGCCCATTTTGCTCCTTGTTCATATACATCTACCAAAGGATGGAGAAACAAAGATGGGACAAGCTCAGGCTAGGCCATGGGATGGCTAAGTTTGATTTGGGGAAAGGGGATGGAAACTTCTGGCCAAAACTGGGGTTTATGAATTGTGGGAGAGCTGCACCTTAGCTATATCAAACTAACTGTGTGACCTGAAGCAAGCTCTTGAATCTCCCTGGGCCTTAGTTTCCTCAACTGTACAATGAGGGGTTAAGCTGAGGTCCCTTCCAGCTATAACATGTTTTGGTTACTTCACTTTAAGTACCTCATCGAAAGTTTTATATTGATGCAGATTTTTAAAATTCTGAGGTTATCATTTCATACTCAAAAATTGGCAAAAGTGGTAAAAGATGAAAAAATTCAATGACAGGAATGAAAGAAGAGAGTAACTAACTGCTGGTAGAGCCATGAATTGGTCCAGCTGTTTCGGAAAACAATTTGGAATCATGCAAGAGATGTTATAAAATTGTTCATTCAATTCAACAAAACAATTCAGACATTTATTAAGTGACAATTTAAGCAAGGCAATAGTAGATACAAGCAAAAGCTGAAATAGCCCTTTGTCCTAAAGAGGCTTACATTTTACTAGCCAGCAATTGATTGGGTTTATACCTCCAGGAGTTTATTGAAAACAAGGAAAACCCTATCTGAAGAAACTCACTGCAGCCCTAATTGTAACTGCAGAAGAAATCAAAGTTATCTATAGTCATATGAAAAAAAATGCTCTAAGTCACTATTGATTAGAGAAATGCAATTAACACAACTCTGAGGCACCACCTCACACCTACCCGATTGGCTAACATGACAGAAAAGGAAAATGATAAATGTTGGAGATGTGGGGAAAAGTGGGACTCTAAAGTACAATTTCTTTTTTCCAAAAACTGCAAAGAAACACAGGAAGAACTATATGAAGTGATGCAGAGTGAACAAAACAGATCTAAGAGAATATACAGTTATGACAACCACATGACAACGACTTGCTCACAATCATGGTCACCAGAGTTCACTTCACTGGAGAAATTACACATTATGGGAGATTTAATTATGAGTACACTAAAGTCTTCTGTGATGTAACAAAATGAAGTTTAATAATTAAAAAAGGAACAAGCAGAAGAAAAAGAAAAAAATTATTCATGTTAAAGACACTTTGCTCTGGAAGATACTGGTTATATTTTAGAAAAGTAACTTCTGGTATAAATTAAGATAAATAGTAATATTACTGAAACTAATAGGATTGTTGGCAGCCTGATGATGCGTCTGCTGAAATGAACTATTATCTGGATTTAATTAGTTGGAAAGCCTTAAATTCCAGGTAGGCCTATTTAAATGAACCATAGTAACATCATAGGAGTTAATGGTTAGCTTTTACTTATCTAAGCTGTTCCTAGCACAAACATGCATAAAATCTGTCAGATGATTGTGAAGATCTATAATGCAGTGACAAGGGGGGGGCGGGTCCAGGGAGGGAAGAAAATGGAAAACGTTAGAAGGGGGCAAAAGAACTCTTGGTTTGTAAAATAGTTGGCAGTGATACCTGTACCCACACTAAATACATTCCAGAGCATTTCAACAGAAGGCATTTGTGCTCAGTCTTTTAGATACACATAACCTTATTAAGAATCCAGTTAGGAATTTTCCTTTGTTTCTGTATCCTCGGTGCTTCAGCACAGTGCCTTGCACATAGCAGGAACTTAATAAATATTGAATTGAACACAGGAGTCCTTGCTTATTTTTAGATCTGGGAAAAAGCTCCCTTTCTCTCTTCAACCTTAACCCATCTTCCCATGGACACAGATACTGTTTAACTTAAGTCATGAAAAGAGGTCTTAAGACTGGTCTGTACCTGAGAGTTTGAAGCAAAGGACAAAACACCCACCCCACCCCCTGCCAAAAGGGACAGATTAGAGATTTGTCTTCATAACTAGAAGAGGGGGTGGGGAGTAGGAAGGGAACCCTAAAATATTCTGAGACATATCAGCTTTAAAAACTCCTTAGCCTGGCATTTAAGGCCTTCCACAATCTGGCGCCCACCTACATTTCCAGTTTTATTTCATCCTGTTCTCCCGTTCAAACACTGTGTTCTAGCCAAATTAAACTACCGGCTATTTTTAAACCATACTGCCTCCTCCTATCTGCCTCTCAGGAACTTTGTTTTCCTTCAAGGCTCAGGCATCATGTCCTCCATGAAGCCGGAACTCATCCCGTTTTCAGTGTTCTCCTCCATTTTCCTTGCATTATACTTATTTGCGTAGGCACTTGCTGTATACTCCTCCCCTACTCCCCCTACTCCTAACAGTGTAAGCTTCTTGAGGGCAGGCCCTGTTTCCTTTTTACATTTCTAGTACTTTCTAAAGTCTTTGCTTATTTTCATATATAGGGGAATAGAAAATCAAATTAAACTATATTGAAATGTGGCATGTAAGAGAAATCAACCTTTATTTTGTCTTCTAAATAGGCATCAGAAAGCCCTAGAGGAGCCTTCTAGACCTCCAGCTAACCCTCCAAAGTGAGTATACTGCCAGGAAAACACAGCTAACAATTCATTTTAGCTGGATTAAGAAATAAAACAGATTTATTGTTTACATGTGTAATATGGAGAACAATTCTAAAAGGCACTTAATTTACTCAATTTGAACTTCCCTCCCATTAATTTATTACAGTGTGAAAAAAAATGTAATAGGTGTATTGGACCATGACAAGAAGGTTTCTTTCTGGAAGGAAGAGGCCCTATCTGTGTCTGGCTTGTTACTGAGACCATTGCTCCTTTCTGGGAAAGATGGTTCTCCCTTCACCCCCACTCACCAGTCCCCAAGAAGCAGCAGCCAATGCTGTCTCCTTCCACACTGCCTGGGCAATCTGGCACCTACTGAGGCAAAAAAGAAGGCCTTGGGGGGAAGAACTGGGAATACAACTCAAAACTTTGATCATACTAAAAGTGTGAGATATTCATACACAAAGATATAGTTGCACACAAATGAGACAAAATCAGAAAGACAGGACTCCACCAGAAGAAAGTTGAATAAACTATAGGTAGACACGAAAAGGTGTGTTTCTGTGATTTTTTTTTTCTCTAGGAAGCGAAATATTCACTCTCAGAAGTTATGTGTAGCGGCAGCTAGGTGGCGCAGTGGATAGAGCTCTGGCCTTCGAGTCAGGAAGACCCGAGTTCAAATCCGGATTCAGACACTTGACACTAGCTGTGTGACCCTGGACAAGTCACTTAACCCCGAATGCCTCACCAAAGAGAAAAAAAGAGTTATGTGTAGTAGGGGAGAAGGGAGAGAGGGAGGGGTGGCCATGATCAGGGGATAAGGTCTACAAAGGGGAGGAACAAATTATATATACATTAATTAGAAACATGTATATAACTGCATTCTTAAAGGATAATTTCTTTAGTTCATGACTGTGTTGGTGATAACCCTCAAGGTCTTTTTCTAGGAATCTCAGATACCTAAAATTCAAATATCTGTGAAATATAAATACTATCACTTACAGATGGCTACAGATGACCCCAAAAGAACTTTGTTCAAACAAATGACTAAATTACAAATGGCCACATAAATATAAACAGGACCCTAATTAACAAAATTTCTAATTGTTATTTTCTGCTATAGGTATTAGAACAAAGGAAGAAAAATAAGCTATTTATAAGGATAATCATTACAAATATTAGCTTTCTAAGTGTTGTTATTTAGAATATTTGCTGTGTTTAAGTCGGAGATTTAGCCTCCTAGCAAGTAAAATTAAAATCATGAGGTTAATTCCAGCAGACATATTAATCATCAGAATGAGAATAATCCTATTAGTTTCCATAACATTACTATTATTACTGTGTTCTTCCCATGACCTTTGTGTTAAATGCTGATATCACAAAGATTCCTCTGGTGAAGGTCCCCGGTAGCTGGTGTTTGGATTTTTGCCGTAACATGTCTATATATAAGCACATTGCAATTCTAAAATTTTGCGTACCTCAGATTTTCCATACATAATGAAGCAACACCGAAATGCCTGGTGGTGACCCTGGGGTCTTGAAGGTTTTGCCAAAGGAACATAGCTCTGATTGAGAGATCCTGCCAAAGTGGAAAGGCTTTGAATGCTTGTCTTCCAAGAACCAGCCTAGTGCTGTTACTAGTGATTTCAGCTATAGCAGCGAAGGTGTCAGAAGGGTTAGTTAAGGGAATAGCCATACTGATGAGATCCTGGCCCCCTGAAATGCTGAACTGCCTAATGAAATAATACAGACTGATCATGTGGAGTGAGAAGGAAGGGCAGCCACTTCTGGACTCGTTCACAAAGGACCCCAACCTCCAGTCGGAGCTCTGGACACTATAAAATTGTACTCAGACAGACAAGAGAGCCAAGAATACAAACTTTATTGAACAAAGATGATGGCCATATGCAAGTAGAGGGAAGCTGTCTGGCAGTATACACAATGCAGATTTATGCCTGGCCTCTCCCTGTCTTTTCAAGAGAGAAGTATTAAAAATAATGACTAACCGAGGACTGAAAAGAACCTCACTCACGTGACCTCCAGCACCGTTTAAACTGATGCTTTCCACAGGACAACTTGGTTTTTTCATGCATATGAATTGTTCAAACTGCAAGTAAAGCAAAGCCAAGGAGGTTGTGAGGAACTTGGCTTCTATCTCAAGAAAAGCAAATTTGGAATTCAGCCTAGTTTCATAATTATCACCAGTAATTTGCTTGTAGCCACCAAAAGGTCATTAAGGGAAAACTAAGACATGTTAATTTGGTAATATTTGTGGTCACTGTGGCCAAGTTAGGGAGAAGGAAGGAGATTATGTTGAAACATTCAATTACTTTTGAACATGCGTGACAACCCTCTGGAGAGGTCCATTCCAGAACTACCAGGAGGCCTGGACATTGACAGACTATGTTTTAGCCATAGTCAAGAGGCAGTGCTTATTGGGGGTGGGGTGGGGGTGGAGGGGTATGCAGGGCTGTGCAGGGATGGCTCAATTTCTAACCTTAGCTAAACTCATTCCTGGGACCTGCATTTCAAATACCAAATTTCCTTTCTTAAGATACATAATCCCCAAGAGGAGCCCTCAATAAAGGTTCTTCCTGCCTCTTCTATAGAGGTGAAAACAGGAGACCTTTCTGTTACAAATTAAGTGGAGGAGGTTTGAAGATGAGTGATCTGGAGGGGGCTGGCCATTACAAAGCTACCCTATAACCCTAACAAAGAAATGGAGTTTTTAGGGACTCCCCACCTCTGGTCAGAAAGCCTGATGGAGCAAATGAAGACCTAGAGCTTAGACACTTACTCTGAACTCAAGAGGCTGTATTCCAAGAGCAATTTCGGTTCTAGCTTCACTGGCTGAAGCCAAAATAAATATATGAAAGGGACTGGAGGGCACAGGAGGAGGGAGGAGGAAACCAAAATAATCTTGTGGTACGCTGTACGAATTTTGTTCCTTCCCTATCACAGCTTCCAATGCTGCAATGCATAGAGAAGGTGGTTAAGAGACAAATTTTTCAATTGGTTTTCTGACTGGGGGAAGGGTGGAAGAGGAGGGAGTCTGAAAATTTATCTCTCATCTCTAAATATTTATGTATGACCAGGCTGACAGGGTTTAGACATGCTTTAAGCTGGAAATGGAAAGATGGGGAGGGGGGAGGAACGTTGGCATGACAGGGATATACAAACACCACATCTCAAGTGCTTCAAAAGCTGGTTTCGATTTCTGCCCTTCACCCAAGGAGGATGCTACTTTAATAAACTACAGCACACTGAGAGAGTCCGAGACGCAAAGGACTTGAGTGAGCTCTATATTTGAGATGGGACAAATTTTTTAGAAAAATGAAGAGCTTGCTTGGCTATTTCTGCCTGACGCTGTGGCCGAAGCTTCCAGACCCCACCCTGGTCACATCTGCCCAAGTCATGGGGGCGAGCCAAAAAAGGAGAGCAGGGTGCTGAGCCCCAAGCTCTCCTCCGCAGGGTAAGAAGTGCTGGGAAAAGAGGCAAGTCTTCATTTACCATGTCAAGGCCTGTGGCGATGCCCTGAGGTCGCTCCCTTGCTCACCAAGAATCTGGTCCAAGAGAAGGAGCAAACAGATGAAAATCAAGCAACTCCAAAACAAACATGCCTCCCCCCACGAACGGAGCCACGTGGCTTCTGGTGGTCAGCAGCCGCCGCCAGGGCAAGGAGGAAGCTGCCTGCCGGCGTTAGGATTTATTGAAGGCTGCCAGCACGGCCCAGATCATCTCCGTGGCACTGTGCTTTGTTCCCTCCACCTCTGGGTCAAGCTCTACCAGGTCCTTGGCTCGATTCATGGCTATGTCGTATCTGTCATCCGCCAGGGTGGAGAAGACGCTTTCTAGCACATCTGAGGAATGCGCCAGCACCAGGAGCGCCAGGGTTCTGCGGTCCATTCGCTGGGGGTCATTCACCCATCGCTCCAGAACGCTCTCCTGAAGCTTTCTGACCAGCCGCTGTTTCTCTGTTGTGTTGGTCACGGGGTGGGTGGTCATGTCAAAGAGCAGGAAGTTCTGCTTCTCAGTGGTCAGGATACCCTTCTCCACCAGATTTTTGGCAATCCGTTCTCGCACATTCTTCAGCTGGTACTGCAGCTTGAAGGGATTCCATGTTTCACCTGTGATGATGGGTGAATGGATGCAATACACAGAGAGAAACAAACAAGCAAAAAAAAGAAAAAGATTAATTTTCTGACTTACAGTAGCATGTATTAAATTCTAGGTGTCTCAGGCAAATGTGGTGGAGCTACGTTCAAACCCGGCCTCAGACACTTGACGCTTACTAGCTGTGTGAGCCTGGGCAAGTCACTTAACCCTGACTGCCTCACCAAAAAGGAAAAAAAAAGAGAGAACAAAGGCTTTGCAGTGATGGAGATAATCCAACTATGAGTTTGTGCCTCCCCACACATACGCACACCCACACCTCCAGTGTTTCTGGCACCTTCTTGGGACTTTTCCAAACTTTATGACAATCTGCATGGTAGAGCTCTTCGTGAAGTAAGCAGGAGTGGAGGCATGGGCAGCAGTGAGAAGGACCAATACAAAAGAGGGTGCACATCCATCTCTAGCAGGGACAGTACGGAGAAGCACACTGCCTATCCCCGTCCCTCCCACGATGGTAGGGAAGAGGTGAAATGGCCACTGGCCCGAACCAGGCAGGAGGAAAGACTGAAGCACTCTGCTGAAGGGGGAGAGGAGGAAAAATCTCACTGCTGCTTGGGTTGCCACCAGCGCAGGCTGGGAGACAGATGAAGAGACACAGGTAGGACTGTGGCCAACAGTTCCCAGCCAGTGGCCCTGTGCTCTGGGGCCTCTCAGGCAGAGGTTCCCAGTCTCTTTCAAGCTCTGTCCTCCTTGGCTTTATGAACCCTCTATTCAACAGGAAAGGAAATAAATTCTTAAGTTTACTATAAGCACAAAAGAAATAAAACATTAATTTCTATAGGCTGATATAGTTATTTCCCAAGTATTTATCACACCCTCTTGATAAGCTTGTATCCTTTAATAATCTTATTCCAGATTAGGGACTCCTTCAATAAGAAAATAATACTTGTCCCAGGCCTGTGGTCTTTGGTGTCTGAATTTAAAAGAATCACAACACTTCCCATGCATAGCAGTAAAGGAGCCTAGGGTAGCTCAGGCTGCCTTCTTGCTGCTACCAGTTACAACAAAGGTTTTTATTCTTTTAGATTCACACTACCTAAGCGTCTGTGTGCTGGCCAGTCTTCCTTCTGTCTTTTCCCCTACCTCACAGTCCCACCGAGGGGACACCCCAGAGGCCCGTTGGGTAGCCATCAGATTGTTCTTCCTTGCCTCTCTCAACAAGGTTCCCCAGTCTTTACCGACTTTTATATCTTTGCTGCCTAGGGAGCAGGCAGCATGCTTCCAACACCATAAACACATCATGCTGTATCTTCCTGAAGTTGAGGATAAACGCTCTTGTTTGGGGTATCATCACTCCCCAGAAGGGTAGTGTGACCCCTGTCATGCTACATATTCCATGCCCTCCCCTCTAACCATCACCCTGCTATCCAAAGCATCCTGAAGACTCGAGAAGCCTCAACAAGGCACCAGAAATCAGTGGGGGAGGGGAGAAAAGGAGAGCCACAATCGGGTGGCCAGGGCTGGCATCTCTGGCATTAGGCGGCTAGGAGGCGCCGTGGACAGAGGAATGTCACTTAACTTCTATGTCTACTTCAGTTTCCTCATCTGTAAAATGAAAATAATAATGCCGTTTATCTTCCAGGGTTGTTGTGAAGATTAAATGGGACAATATTTGTAAAGCACCTGGTACTGTGCCTGGCCCACAGTAAGTGTCATATGTTAACTTTTATCATTATTATATAAATTGTATGCATTCAAAACCAAGTTCTTATTCTCTCATGAACAAATAATCTGAATTTCTGCTTCAGGGCTATGTCTCAGCCACCGAAAAGCGGAGATAAGAGACATTCTGAATTCTTGTACCAGTGAGCAGCTCTATCCATGTTTGAACCGTTTCTGCTGGTTCTGTGGCCTTGATGTGCTTGAGTGTTTCATCCAGTAAGACATCGCCAGTTGGACTATCTGACTTTAGCAACACCTTTTAGGGAAGAAGACAAAAGGAAGAAGGGGCATGTATTTATTCATTCAACAAATAGTTATTAAGAAACCATTATATTCATAATGTTATGTCGATGCTATATGAAGATATATTACATGTTCTCTGCCCTCGGGAGTTTACAACTGAATGAGGACTTGGGGCACGGACCCCCAAAAAGTTACACATCACTATAAGAAGAGCGATTATAAGGAAGGACCAAAAGGACTGGCGGTGGATAGAAGGGACAGGCGGGAGGGTGGATTCAAAGAGAATGCCAAGGTTTTGAGACTGGTCTACAGAAACCAAAAAGGGGGTCTGGTCTGGGAAGACGATGAGGAATTTGGTTTCAGAGCTAAGAAAAGGTCACTGGTTTTGGTAATCATTAGTGACCAATGAGACCACAGTTTCCCAGAGGCGATGAGGAGAGCGGCCTGGCTGCAGGAGGGAAGGGGTTAGTCTGTGAGGAGACAGATGAGAGCATTGGGCATAATTCCCATGTTCACCCAGTTGAATGGAAGGAAAAAGCTGTATAGGCAACCACACGCCTGCTTTCTTCCCCTCCCCCAGGCCTTACTCCTTGCTTGGAGGTGGGAAGGGAGGTCTCAGGGGGTTCTTGGGAGGGACAGACCACACTCCAATTTCACCCAGTTTTCCTCTACTAATGGAGGTGGTGTCCATGGCGTGAAGAGGAGTTAACGGGTTACCTTTCTGTCAAGCAGCCTCTTCTTCCGTATGGTCGGGGGCTCCAGATGGATCCGGCCTCGCATGGCCAACTCTATCAGGATGCCTCCTCGAAGCCCAGAAGAAATGCAGTCATTCCAGAAGGACGTATAACCCTAGGTAAAGGGAAAGGAAGAGGCGGGGAGAAAAGTGTGAGGGCTCAGGCTTGTCATGGGCATCTCTGAGGATGGTTTCGTTCACTTTCAAGGCACATACCAATGCCCTGCCAATATGGATGATGACCTGTACAGTTGGTGCCTGGCTCTCTCTCTTATCTCTGTGTTCTCTGTTACCTAACAGACTGTGAACTTTTCCAGGCAGGAGCTAGGCACAGCTTTGGACCTTCTTGGCATAAGGGGACAGCATCTCCTTTCTCTGTCTCTCTTCTCCTGCAGCCAGCACACACTTTGGAGACAGAAGACCTGGGTTCAAATCTGGCTTGTCATTTATTATAGGCCTAAGGGACCCTGAGCCAGTCACTGAACTCTGAGCCCCAGTTTCCTTGTGTGTAAAATGAGGGGGGTTGGAATAGATTACCTTGAAGATCCTGCCAGAAGTAAACCTGTGAGGGTATGGACACAAAACAAAGTTCGGCATGAGAAAGCCAACTGCTTCCTGAGTCTTTGTGACTCTTCCAGAAAAGACCAAATAATATGGTTCCACTAGCAACTGGTAAATAGCCTGTCAGTCTCTCTTTCTAGAAAAGAGCCTACACAATGTCCAAAGTTTGGTAACTGCTGAGAGGTAGATTTAGTTTTGACATAAGTAAAAACTTCCCAACCATTCAAAGAATCCCAGAGTTGAAATGGGCCATCTAGATGCCTCAATGGATAGAGTGCTGCTGGTCCTGGAATCAGGAAGATCCTAGTTCAATGGCCTCAGACATTTCTTAGCTATATGACCTTGGGCAAGTCACTAAACCCTGTTTGCCTTAATCTACTGGAGAAGGAAATGGCAAACCACTCTAGTATCTTGACCAAGAAAACCCCATGGACAGTATGGTCCATGGTCTTGCAATGAGTTAGGCACAACTGAAAAACAACTGAACAACAAGAAATGATCTAGTTTGGGAGGTAGTGGGTTTCCACTCCCCCAGAGCAAAGTCTACTTCAAGCAAAGTCTAGCTGACCAGACAGCCACTTTGTCAGGCATGTGCACGTGCCGATTTCTGTTCAAGTAGGAGCCAGACCAGATGGGCTCTGCAGTACCTTCCAAAGTTAGGAGTCTGTGATTCAATGCTAATCCAAAAGTTTAAGTTACCGTTGTAGAAAGGCACCTTTGAGCTCTCTACAAACTGCTCCTGTGACAATTCTAAAGTTTAGGGGGGAATATAGATTAGTGAGGAAGAGTAAACCACAAACCATCTCGCTCTCTGACAGACCAACCAACCAATAAGCATTAAGTACAATGCACCGTATCACGGTGCTAGGGATCAGAGAGGCATAATAATCTAGTTGAGATAAGATATGAAGGAGAAGAAAAGAAGAGCTATCACAAGGAAGTACATGATTGATCGAGATATAAATGGTACTGACAGTGCCCCTCAGGAGTTCTAAGGTACTGATCCCTTTTGCTGTGGAGTACTGCAGGAAATCTGAACAAAGAGGCAGACTGAGCTACACTTAGGCTAGGGAGAGAAAACTAGGGCGAGCATCCTAAGCTGTGAGGGGATAATGTGAACAAAAAGGGAGAAGCAGGAAAGAACAAGGCATGTTTAGAGGAGGGGGTGTTTTGGGGATGGTACTATTAGAGGTGATGGATAAGTCAGAGCCAGGTCATAGAGGGTCATGAATACCAGACTAAGAACTTTGATTTTACAGATAAGAGAGTCCCTGAAGTTTTTCTGAACGGTGAGTTTCATGACCCAAACACCATTTTAGTCTGATGTGCCTATCTCTATAAGAGCAGACGAATTTGCAAGTAGCACAGATTATTGCTTCTGGCGTCCTAATCAGAATCCAATCTTTAATCATACCCTCCAAAATCAGTGTGATCCACAGCATCAATTGCTTTCTGTGACAGTGCAAACTGGAGTTATCTGGAGTCATCTATTGCAGGCTTATAGGAAGTGAACAAAGCACTTAAAGCACCCACCTCTCCTTTTTCTCCAAGCCCTCCATCTCAGTTTTTTTTTCTTTTTTTGGATGAGGCAATGGGGGTTAAGTGACGTGCCCAGGGTCACACAGCTAGTAAGTGTCAAATGTCTGAGGCCAGATTTGAACTCAAGTCCTTCTGACTCCAAGGCAAGTACTCTATCCACTGCACCACCCAGCTGCCCCTATCTCGATGCTTCTGCCCAAGTTCCTAAAGCAGGTCAGCAGAAGCCTTTACAAACTCCACCTAGCCTCCTGAAAGCTTCCTGAGGTCTAGGCGCTGGCTTATCTGCCACTGAACTGCACCTGCTCTGCAGGGCACATGGAAACAACCACATCTATTCTTGTCATATAAACACTGGAGCTTATTCCTCCTTCCCTGCTGGTTCAGATAAAGCATAACCCATTCCTGAACAGCAAGGCAGCCTGAAGAGGCAATAAAATGTATATGCGTATCAGAGGCCTGGGGAGCCCAGTACATTTCCACTAGGTGTGTAGAAACACTTCAAAGTATTTAGAAAAGTTTCTTCCAGGGGTTTCTTCTTTCCAACTCACTCCTCAGGTTCGGTTTTCGTTGTGGTGAGGTCAAAGATTTCAACAGTGTCAATAAAGGAACAACAGAAACCAGGATGTAAGGCGTGGACTTCCTTGAAAAGTGTTCTTTCCCACTTTGTCCTCACAAAACCTATAAAACCCTAGAAAACTATCTTCCTTTAGGACTGTGCAGGAGCAGGAAGAGAATAAGGATGGACAAGTAAGAACAGAGGGGTGCAAGGTGGGAACAGGTGTGAGCTAAGCAGTGGCACTGCCTTCTCTGGTGATGTCTCAGAACAAAAGAGAATGCCGACATAAATCTGGGCAAATAATACTTAGAAGCAAAGGAGAAGGCTTAAGGACTGGATCTCCAAAGGGCTCTTCCTGGGATTGCCTTCTGAATGTAAAACATCCAATCTATCATATCCCTATAATCCATGTATATAAGCAGTCAGAAGGACCCTAGTGAGAAAGGACCACTGCTTTCTATGGCTGCGCAGTACCTTCTGGTACAAGAGTTAACCCTGCCCCAAAGCCTGTGCCAGCAAAACACGTCACAAAAAAGGGATGGTGTGGTTTAGTGGTAGATAAGCAAGCAGACTAGACCTCAGGAAGCTCCTTGAGCCCAGGGAGGCCAGGAGGTGTTTGTAAAGGCTGCTGTTGACCTGTCAGTGGTAAGTGGAACTTGGGCTCTTAAGAAAGTTAGGGTTAGAAAAGATCTGAGATGGAGGGCTGGGAAGAAAAGGAGAGTTGAGTGCTTTAGGTGATGCAGCTTAAGAGTTCAGGGGTCCTGGGACCCCAATATCACAATACATGGGTCTTGCCCGAGAGTTTGACCCAAGCCTTCTTTCAGCCAAAGACAAGGTTTACTAGAACACTGTCATATTGGGCAGATGCTTAAGGAGTCTGAACATAGGTAAGCAGTGGCTAGATTTTAGGAATCTAAGCAATGGCTGGATTATAAGAATCTCAGCATCTTAATGGAGACAAGATGGACCTTATATACAAAAAGACTGTAGGAGGAACATAGGAGTGTCCAGTAAACTGGGGTGAACAGAACTCCTGGGACCTGGACCTGGTGGCCAAGGGAGAATGGAGCCAAGCTAGGATTAAGGGTGGGAAATGGCCAGGGGCCATAGGGAGGTAAGACAATGGAGGGGAGATTAGGTATAGCCACAATGAAAGGCCAGTTGATGGGATTAATGCCTCAGGCAAAAATTCCAGAGATCTGGCCAAGTGGGAAAGTCCAGGGTTTTTCCTTTCTGGGGCCCAGATCCCAACACCATCTTAAGTACTTTGTCCACTTCCTATAAGCCAAAACGGCTTATAAGATCAGAATCAAGAAGCAATTAAGCTATGGATCACATTGATTTTGGAGGGTATATTAAAGATTAGAATCTGGTTAGTAGCCCAAGCTGAGAGCTTTGCACCTCCCCCCAAAAAGAATTTGGGTCCCACTTGTCTGTTTTCGAAGAGGACCAAAACGACATCACTATGCCAGGGTCAAGTTTCAGAGGGTCTGACTGTGGCTGCTCAGACCAATGTGAGCTCAGAATGTTCTACCACAGGTTGGACACAAACAGTCCGTGTGTACCTTTGAGGTAGATTCTCTAAGCTTGTGTATCTTGGGTTTCTCTTGAGCTATTTCAATTCTGCTTTGCCCACAGAACACAGCACCTTTTGAGTGGGCCCTTTGCCAGTGTCTCTCATGCCACACAATCAATTCCAAAGTTCTTAAGAGAGACCTTGAGAGTGTCCTCACATCGCTTCTTCTGACCATCATGTGAACGCTTGGCTTGTGTGAGTTCTCCATAAAGAAAGAAGACAAGCTTATAATTCTGGGTGACTTTAATGCTAGAGTAGGCTCAGACTACCAGACTTGGCAGAGAGTTCTAGGAAGGAATGGAGTTGGAAACAGCAACACTTACTACTGAAGACTTGTGCATGTCATGACCCTCTCCTCACCAACACTGTTTTCAGTAAAACTTAGTGGACGCACCCTGGCAGCAAACACTGGCCCATTCTCTACAGGCCCTAGAAAACCCTACCTTGGATTCTCCTTGAACTCTCCTACTCAGTAGAGGAAATCTAGTTTTTGCCTGAGGCTATAATCCTATCAACTGGCCTTTCTAACCTAGCCAGGCCCTCCATTGTCTCTCACCTCCGTTGCCCCCCACCCCCCCACCCCTTTGACCTCATTCTACCTCCCAGTCACTACCCCCATCAAGATCCTCCCTAGACCCCTCCTCACTGTCACTCCAAACTAGCTGGGTACTTACTTCTAGATCCCTTCCCAGTCTTTCTGTACATAAAGTCCATCTTGTCTCCAATTAAGTGCTCAGATTCTTAAAATCTGGCCAATAGCTCACTAATGCTCATATTCTTTAAGAGTTTTGTCAATATGGCAGATCTTTAATAAACCTTGTCTTTGGCTGAAAGAAGGCTTGCGTTGAATTCATTCGGGCAAGATCCCCGTCTCTTGCTCTCAA